TTATGGGACTCGTTGCAATAGGACCGCAAAGAGTCCACCCGAATATGGTCTCTTGACCAAGGAGTGTTCCACAAATATTGGAATGGGAGCCTCTGAGAATGATTGATGGCAGGATATCGGCACCAATAAGCACGTCAATCGGCGAGCTCCGGTAGAAATCTGGATCTGCTAGTTGCAGAGGTGGAAGATCCTTTAATGAATCCTCTGGTATAGTGTAGGATGGGAGATTCCCGGCTAACTGTGGTAGCACATACGCACAGGTTTCAATTTGGATATGGGGCTTGACGGGAGAACCTATGTTGAATTGACAACGCTTACGGGGCTGAGCTGCAACGGAAAGGTTGACCCCTGAAACTTGCGCTTGGATGGACTCATACGGCAACTTAATTAGGTTGAACAACCGTTCTGAGATGAAGGTTGCCTCGGAACCTGAGTCAATGAGTGCCCGTGCTGAGTATTTTATGCCCAAATGGCAAACTTCTATCATTGCCGTACTCAGTAGGACCCCTTGCGTGTTAACGGCAAGAAACGTTTGCACATTCGCTTGACTCGTCGATGGAGTGGACTGTATATGTTGCTGGATTGCTGTGAATGGATGGGACTGTTGGTCAGGCATAACCACTGAATGGACTGGCGGAGGGCTGCTTCGATGCAGGAGAGTGTTATGACGACCATTGCAGGTGTGGCAGTTATGCGTGCTGTTGCAGTCCCGGAGCAGATGCGTTCTTGCGAAACAGTTTAAGTACATCTTCTGCTGTTTTACATGTTTCTCTCGATCTGCGACTGACATGCGTAAGAATAGAGGACATCCTCGGATTGGATGGTTCTCCTGTGCGCAGAGTTTACAGGATTGCGGGTTTACCGTAACTCTGTTCTCAAAGGTCTGGATTGACCGCTAGCTATTGTCAGCCCTCAGTGCCCTGGATTGAACGCTCGCGTTTGGCTTGAACTCCTCAATCGCCTCAAGCGTTCGATGACGATCCTTTAAGAAGGCCTGGAATTCAGCCCAGAGTGGAATCTCTGACTTACTTAGCAGGGACTGTTCCCAAAGAGCCAAATTTAGTTTTGGCAACTTGGACGAGCACAGGAAAACAAGCAGGCAATCCCAATTCGTGGTCTCGACTCTTGCTAATTGCAGGGCCGTTAAACAACCTTGGATTGTGCTCTCTAAATGCTTCAAGGATTTTCCGCATTCCTGGGCAACAGAAGGCAAATTAAACAAGATCTTTAATTGGCTATTGACCAGCAGCCTCTTGTTCTCGAACCGATTCTGCAAGTTTCTCCACGCTGACTCAAAACCATCAATGGTCAACGGAGATAAGGCCACAATGGATTTGGCCTCGCCGCTCGCCTTTGCATTGAGATGGAACAGTTTTTCGACTTCTGAAAGCCGAGGATTGCGTATATAGATGGCGGAGAAAAGGTCCCGAAATGTGGGCCATTGAACATAGTCACCATTGAAAACTTCGCACTCGACTGGAGGTAAGCGACATCCGCCCTGAGACGGCGTCAGATTGGAGGACTGAACAGACTGTTGTGCGCGTGAATCTTCAATGATCTCATTGAGGCTTGCTGCGCACCGCTCGTAAACGGTATAACAGTCGTCATACTTGGATTGCATGACTGTTATTTTGTCTTTGCAGTTTTGACTGGCCACAACTTCGGAGCACGTCTCATATTCCTTTTCCACCTTGTCTCCAAGCGACGTGCTCGTAGATTTTAGGAGAGTTGCGGTTTTGCTTCGAGAGGGATTTTCGCTTTTGGAAGGCACAGAAGATTCACTCTTTGCCCGGGCTCTATGAGACTCTTTTACCTTAGAAACGGTCAAAAGGGATTTTGGTTCCTCACCGTCACCAATTGGCATATGAAGCTCTCGTAGGAGCCGGAAAATGTAAGTGTGTGAGGTAGTCTATCGACTTTGACGTGGTTCGGAGAGGGGCCGCTGGATAAGCGCAAAAAAAACAGAGTTAATCGAAAAAATGTTATCGATTTCAAATTAATACGGGGACGCTGGATGACGCGTTGGCACGGATGAACTCGGTTCAAAGGATATGGGGGCGCTGGATAACGCGTAGAACAAATTAATCGAACAAATGCTATCGATTTCCAATTGATACGGGGACGCTGGATAACGCGTTGGCACGGATGTACTCGGTTCGAAAGATATGGGGGCGCTGGATAACGCGTAGAACAAATTAATCGAAAAAAATGCTATCGATACTCAATTAATACGGCGACGCTGGATAACGCGTTGGCACGGATGTACTCGGTTTAAAAGATACGGGGGCGCTGGATAACGCGTAGAACAAAGTAATCGAAAAAATGCTATCGATTTCCAATTAATACGGGGACGCTGGATAACGCCTTTAAATAATCAAAATAAATCAATAGTCGAAAGAGGTTGTTATCGATTTGGGTATGAACAGAGAAAAAAAATATGTAGAATGAATTATTCGGAGACAAATAAATGTTTGTCGAAAAATACTGTGGGGTTGGAAAGTGAAGACAAAAGGATTAATCGAAAATGTATGCTTATCGCCTTTGAAGATATGCTTGGACGCTGGATAATAAGTACCAAAAATAATCGGAACGGTGTACACGATTCGAAAAAATTAGGTTGTAAATTAGTCGAATTGAAACTCAAAACCAATAATACAAAAAAAATGCACCCAAGTGCGAACGGCTCGTTACCAGATTGAGCCGCGTATGGTAATGGTGTTGCCAACTTGGCGGGCAGTACATATGTATTTACGGAAAGTAAACAAACAAAAAAAAGACTAATAAACGCAGATTTTCCTTTAATTTTGTTTGTTTCACTCGGCTTACGTTCGAATGCACCGCCGCTGTTAGCTGCCGAGTCGCAATTGCCGGTCCGGCAATTTGTATGGATATGTGCATATATGTATGTATATGCATGTATGATCGGCCAGCTAGAGGAGCGAGTTAGCTTTATTTTCCCTTTTTTTTTTTTTTTTTGTTTTGCTACTGTGCAATGGATGGAAAATATGTACATATATTTATTGTGGATAGGATGTGTTTTTCTCTTTTTTAAATGCCGCCGATTTGTGACCCAAAGGTAATGAACATATGTATGTACATATGTATGTTCATAGATCGGCAATGTTGTAAGGATGCATTTTGCTGGGGTCGGCGTCTCAGTCCGCCCAGAGTCCTCATCAGATAAATTTATTTATCTTTGAGACAGTTGAGGAGGGGTTTCATAATATTCTATTTGGGAAAACTCTTACTCGGGTCACCGAGTCGCGAACCGTTGGCTATGCCGCGACGGACGCTTATGGGGGGAAAATATATATGAATATGAAAATCTATAATGCCTATGTATGACTACGCTCTGGCACCATCGTAGCCAGCCCTGGTGGTACAAACTTTATGCGGGTGCCCGAAATACTCACGGCCGGCGCTGTCGTGGCCAATCCTGCCCAGAAATCTTTCTACGAAAATGCCCGGAGTACTCACGGTCGGCATTAACGGAGGTAACACTGGTGGCCATAAATATTGTCACAGGCTTGAAATACTCGCCGACGGCACTGTCGCAGCTAATTCTGACCAGCGAAACCTACTACGAAAATGCCCGGAATACTCACAGACAGCAAAATCGGAGGTAACACTGGCAGCCCTAACTACTGCGCAAATGCCCGGAATACTCGCAGACGGCACTGTCGCGACTACTTCTGGCGCGCAAATCCTACTACGAAAATGCCCGGAATACTCACAGACAGCAAAATCGGAGGTATTACGACCAGCCCTAACTACTGCGCAAATGCCCGGAATACTCGCAGACGGCACTGTCGCGGCTATCTTTGGCACGCAATTCCTACTACAAAAATGCCCGGAATACTCGCAAACGGCAATATCGGAGGAATTACGACCAGCCCTAACTACTGTGCAAATGCCCGGAATACTCGCAGACGGCACTGTCGCGGCTATTTCTGGCACGCAATTCCTACTACGAAAATGCCCGGAATACTCGCAGACGGCAATATCGGAGGAATTACGACCAGCCCTGACTACTGCGCAAATGCCCGGAATACTCGCAGACGGCACTGTCGCGGCTATTTCTGGCACGCAATTCCTACTACGAAAATGCCCGGAATACTCGCAGACGGCAATATCGGAGGAATTACGACCAGCCCTGACTACTGCGCAAATGCCCGGAATACTCGCAGACGGCACTGTCGCGGCTATTTCTGGCACGCGATTCCTACTACGAAAATGCCCGGAATACTCGCAGACAGCAAAATCGGAGGAATTACAGCCAGCCCTAACTACTGCGCAAATGCCCGGAATACTCGCAGACGGCGCCGGCGCGACTAATCCTGTCGAGAAAACTACTGCGCACATGCCCGGAATACTCGCAGACGGCACGATCGGGGCTTGACACTTGTACCAATAATTCTAACACTTTGATTTCGAGTTACTTTACTTTTATTTTCTGGATTTTTCCTTTCTAATCCCTAACTGTCCCTGTCGCACTCGTTATGCTCACCCTGCTTGCCGAAGCCAGTGTTTCTATGTCTCGTTGGTCGCTTGCTTCCACTTCCTGGTCACGCGTCGGTTGGATCTTGAATTTGGGTTTTCGCTGTCGTTTTCTCCGCTTCGCCAAAACTTCGAACTTTTCTCGCCGCGCACAAAATTTCAAGTCCCGGAAGTTAGTGTGGCTGTTGGTCTCGTTTCCAAGAAACCTCCCCTGTGGGATTTTATCGGGGATTTCTTCTTAGTATTTTCCATGGCGTGATCGTGGTTGGTGTCCTGGCTTCGGCGGGAAATTCAACTATTCTCCTGACTTATTCGATAGTTTTGGGTTGCCACTTAGGGCTAACTTAAAATTATTTACTTCGTGTTTCTGTCTCTTAAAACTACTGCTGTATATACGCTTAAAAACTATTGAGTATGAACTTAAACTACTTAATTCTAACTATAAATATATAAGAAACTTAAAAATGTGAAGGCAGAAAAATGTGAGTCTTCACACGCCCCCTTTACTTTGGGGTGGGTGAGAAGATGGTGACGCGCCCACTCCTGGAGAGATGGACTCTGTACGGCCTGCCGTCGATCTTCTCCTGGCGTCGTATATCCCTGTTTCTCGGTAATCCCAGCTCTCCCTCTATCCAGGTGCCTAGGGTTACTGGGATTTCCCGTCCAGCCGTCTCCACTCGCCACTGGGCCGGGGCTACTACCATGGAGGGTCTTGATTGTTCCACGGGTCCGGATCTCGGGGTTGGTTCAGGGGAGCTGTCCGTGGAGGAACTTCCCCTTGATCGTGCGGCTCGGCGTCGTTGGTTAGGGCGTCCCGTGTGTTCAACCTCTCGGACCGCTCCGCATGGGATCTCCTCCCTGTTTTGAGGACCTGCCTCCAGTCGTTGCCGGCTGATCCTGGCCCTGTTCCCATTGGGTCGGCGTCTCCTCTTTGCTGCCGGCTGTGGTAGCGCGAAGCCGGTGTTGATGCTGGGTGCCCGGTTGTTGTCGCGGTTCTGCTGCTGTAGGGCTGCCCGTGCCCTGGCTGCTTGGCTGGATGTGCTGGGGCTATCCAGGAGCACCTCGTCGCTGAGTCGCCGGGTGTTGTTGGAGCTCGGCTGTGATGCAGTCGCCCGTGCCCTGGCGGCTTGGCTGGACGTGCTGGGGCCATCCAGGAGCACCTCGTCGCTGAGTCGCCGGGTGTTTTTGGAGCTCGGCTGTGATGCAGTCGCCCGTGCCCTGGCGGCTTGGCTGGACGTGCTGGGGCCATCCAGGAGCACCTCGTCGCTGAGTCGCCGGGTGTTGTTGGAGCTCGGCTGTGGTGCAGTTGCCCGTGCCCTAGCTGCTTGGCTGGACGTGCTGGGGCCATCCAGGAGCACCTCGTCGCTGAGTCGCCGGGTGTTGTTGGAGCTCGGCTGTGATGCAGTCGCCCGTGCCCTGGCGGCTTGGCTGGACGTGCTGGGGCCATCCAGGAGCACCTCGTCGCTGAGTCGCCGGGTGTTGTTGGAGCTCGGCTGTGATGCAGTCGCCCGTGCCCTGGCGGCTTGGCTGGACGTGCTGGGGCCATCCAGGAGCACCTCGTCGCTGAGTCGCCGGGTGTTGTTGGAGCTCGGCTGTGATGCAGTCGCCCGTGCCCTGGCGGCTTGGCTGGACGTGCTGGGGCCATCCAGGAGCACCTCGTCGCTGAGTCGCCGGGTGTTGTTGGAGCTCGGCTGTGATGCAGTCGCCCGTGCCCTGGCGGCTTGGCTGGACGTGCTGGGGCCATCCAGGAGCACCTCGTCGCTGAGTCGCCGGGTGTTGTTGGAGCTAGGCTGTGATGCAGTCGCCCGTGCCCTGGCTGCTTGGCTGGACGTGCTGGGGCCATCCAGGAGCACCTCGTCGCTGAGTCGCCGGGTGTTGTTGGAGCTCGGCTGTGGTGCAGTTGCCCGTGCCCTAGCTGCTTGGCTGGATGTGCTGGGACCATCTCGGAGCAGCTCACCGCTGAGTCGCCGGGTGTTGTTGGAGCTCGGCTGTGGTGCAGTTGCTGCTGGCAGGTGTTTCTTGGCCATGGTGCGGGGGCTGTCATAGGGGCCTGGCCCGAACAGTTCCTGGTATGATGGAGGTGGCGTCTCTGGCCTTGGTGTTACCTCCCTCCACAGGGGCGTGCTACGATCGTCGGAATCCGAGACTTCTATTATCTCCTCCGTGGTGGCGCTGGACAGTCGGGTTCTTGTTTCGGAACGCGCTGTGGCGAACGACCGGGCCGTGGTTTCCGTCTCGTCGGCACTGGAGATGTCCTCGTATCGTGGCGGTGGGTTGGGCATCTCAGCGTTCGTCCTGGCCACTTCCCTGATGGAGGGCAGCATGGCGTCCCTGTCAGACCTGCTGGGCAGTGTGACCTCGGCGGAGGAATCACCCGAGCTGGGTAGCAGCACGTCGCCAGATGAATCACCCGAGCTGGGAAGCAGCGCGTCGCCAGAGGATCCGCTGGATCCGGGTAGCAAGGCGTCGCGTGAGGATCCGCCCGAACTGCCTGGGATGGTGCCGCTTGATGTCCCGCTCGTTGCATCGCTGGCAGTAGTTGGTGCTGCGGCGTCAGCAGGGGGTCGCTGCCGTGGCGGGCTCGGGTTGCGGTAACTCCCAAATCTGCCGTCTGGTTCGACGTCTCCATCGCCCAGCGGGTCCCCTGGTGCGACGCAGAGGTCGAGGACATCATCCAGGGAGAGGCTGGTGGCCTCAGCCTCCAGGATCAGCTGGTCTGGTTCCCAGAGTGGATCGCTCAGGAGGTCTCGTATTGAGTTGTCCAGTGCCTCCTGCATCTCCACATCGTCGTCTGTATCTACGGTACCCGTCACTGGGCGTCTCGGGTCTCTGGAACTCATGGCACTGAGGGTAAAGAAACTTAGTATATCTTAAATATGTCATATCCCTATGAGTGCGAATGACTAAACTAAGCCTAGCTCCTTCCTATGTAACTCGTGTTTTCTTAGTCTAACAAAGTTTTAGTGAATAACAAAAAATTTTAATGACCAGTCACTGAGTTCCCCTTCGATGGGGAGGGACGTTGGGTAGTCGCGACTACCAGCAAGTGGCCCCCTTTTCTCAAGACTTGGTCCCCTCGGCGGCAGCGGGTGGCTCGTCGTCGTCGGTATCCTCGTAATGGTATTCTTTTACGTCCCCTAGTCCGGCTGTGCGTCGTCGTCGACTCCCAGGCACCTGTAATTGTAAAAGATTAGGAGACAGGAACTTGTGAACCTTGTATGGTCCATCGTATTTGGCCGCCAGCTTTGCAGTGAATCCCTCTGAAGCCTTGGATAGTACGTGGCGGCGGAGGAGTACCAGTGATCCCACGGCCGGTCGCCATTCTGAGATTGTAGTGCCGTCTTTGTTCGTTGGATGCTCGCTCGCTGTTGTCTTTGACGATCCGGAACAATTCCTGCATCTGTTCCGCCTTCTTTCCTGGTGGTGGCTGATTCGACGTGTGACTCGGCGTGGCTTGATCGAACAATGTATTGGGTAGTCTCGGTTCCCTCCCTTGCATGATGAAGGCGGGGCTGAATCCGGTGGTGTCTGAAACGCTTGAGTTTATGGCCAGCGAGAGTTCGGGAAGTAGCTCGTCCCAGGTGTTTTGCTCAGCTCCATCCAAGTACAGGGCCAGCATTGTTTTTATGGTCCTGTTTGCCCTTTCCGTTGGGTTCTGTTGTGGCGTGTAGGGGGCTGTGTGCTGAAGTTCCATCCCAAGATTTTTGCAGAATGTTTTAAACGACCGGCTGGTGAACTGGGTCCCGTTGTCACATACGAATGTATGTGGAACGCCAAAGCGACTCAGAATCCGATTCCGGAACGATCGTTCGAGATGGGGTGTCGTCGCTTTCCGGAGTGGGATTAATTCTACCCATTTGGTGAATGCGTCCAAAAATACCAGTAACATGGTATTTCCATGACGAGAACGTGGAAACGGGCCCAAGAAGTCCGCACATACTACGCTGAATGGTTCTTTGACTTGACGTGTTTACATCTGGCCGGCGGGTTTAAGTTGGCTTACCTTGTATTTTTGGCAGGTGGGGCACCGTCGTACGTACTTGGTGACTTCCCTGAAGAGTCCTGGCCAGTAATACTTTTGCGCTACGCGTTTGCCGGTTTTCCGTGTCCCGAGATGTCCAGCTGTCGGATGATCGTGGCACTCCTGTAGGACTCGTTGCCGGTACTCCTGGCCAACGCATAGCTTCCACGGAACCTGGTCTTCCTCCTGGGGTGTATTCCCCGTCATTCGGTACAGCTGGCCTCCTTCGATCCGGTAGTCTGGGAATTTTCCCGGTTCCTGAGTCACTTGAAGTATCATCTTGCGCACCCATTTGCATTGGGATGGCTCTACGTTGGCTTGTTGTACTGGTCCAAGGGCTGACGGGAAAGAGCGTCGGCTACTATGTTGAATTTCCCTCGTCGATACTGAACGTCGAACTGATATTGTTGTATTTCGAGTGCCCATCTGGCGATTCGTCCGGTTGGGTTGTCGATTGAGTTTAACCATTTAAGAGCCAGATGGTCCGTCACGACTTCGAACCGATATCCTTCCAGGTAGCAACGCATTTTGCGAATGGCCCATACGATCGCGAGGCATTCCTTTTCTGTTACTGAGTAATTTTCCTCGGCTCGGGTTAATCGTCGACTGGCATAAGCTATGACTCGTTCGACACCGTCGAAGCTTTGTAGTAGGACTGCTCCTAACCCGTGATCGCTAGCGTCGGTTTGCAGGGAAAACTTCTGCGTAAAATCGGGACACGCAAGTACTGGGGCTTCGGTGAGTCGGGTTTTTAGAGTCTCGAAAGCTTGCTCCTGTTCCGTGTCCCAACTCCATTTCCTACCTTTCCGGAGGAGCGTGGATATCGGTTCTACGATGGCTGCAAAGTTCGGGACGAAACGGCGGTACCACGACGCGACACCGAGGCAGCGTCGCAATTCACGGACATTCGTAGGCGGTTGTAGTTCGCGAATCGCGGCGATTTTATCAGGATCAGTGTGGATCCCTGACTCGCTTATCACGTGACCCAAGTATTTTAGACTCCGCTGAAAGAAACTACATTTGTCTCGGTTAAGTTTCAGATTAGCTTGCCGAAGTCGCCTAAATACTTCGCGCAGGTTTTCGATGTGTTCGTCGAGAGTCGTGCCGATAACAATGATGTCATCTAAGTACGCGAAGGCTGAAGGTTCTAACTCCAAAAAAAATTTCAAATATTGTTTCGATGACCACGGACTACTGTGTTGTTTTTCGTTTGAAATGCCAGCCGCGAATGTTTAATTAATTAATTTTTATCTGTATGGTGCACGTGGTTCACGATTTTTATTTGCACAATGCACGCGGTTTTATTCTTCGGCGACGAACGACTGTACTTGTTTTGCACGATGCTCACGAGAAAGAAAAAAAAAATGTTCTTCTTGTTTGCTGGTCTTGACCGATGTTGACTGCTTGAGCTCTCACGAACGACTGTCCTTGTGACGACGAGTTCTCGTTGTTATATACCCGGTGGCGGCGCGATCACGTTGCTTCTCGTCGGTTTTTTTTTCGGGTCAAACGCACGCACGTGGTTCTCTGCTTACTATGCGTATTATGAGCGTGCGATCTCAGAGGTTAGGTAGAGCCCTGTTTGTATTACTGTTACTACTATTACTACTACTTTTGTTAGTATTTTCCCCATTAAAATTCTTTTCTTGTTTTCGGATATATTTTATTTATTTTGCTGATTCCGAATTTTTCAACTTAACTTTTCTCTCAATGCATTCGAAATTTCTTCTCAACAACAAAATGTAACAAAATTTCTCCCAGAATTTTCTCTGTGTATTTTCCCCTTGACAGAAATTTTCCCAGTGGTGGAGAATAAAATGATCTGGTGGTTCTTTAGGCCACGATGGTTGGAATTTTTCCCTTAAGTTTCCTCAACTAGTCCCTGCTCGGGCGCCAATCTGTAAGGATGCATTTTGCTGGGGTCGGCGTCTCAGTCCGCCCAGAGTCCTCATCAGATAAATTTATTTATCTTTGAGACAGTTGAGGAAGGGTTTCATAATATTCTATTTGGGAAAACTCTTACTCGGGTCACCGAGTCGCGAACCGTTGGCTATGCCGCGACGGACGCTTATGGGGGAAAATATATATGAATATGAGAATCTATAATGCCTATGTATGACTACGCTCTGGCACCATCGTAGCCAGCCCTGGTGGTACAAACTTTATGCGGGTGCCCGAAATACTCACGGCCGGCGCTGTCGTGGCCAATCCTGCCCAGAAATCTTTCTACGAAAATGCCCGGAGTACTCACGGTCGGCATTAACGGAGGTAACACTGGTGGCCATAAATATTGTCACAGGCTTGAAATACTCGCCGACGGCACTGTCGCAGCTAATTCTGACCAGCGAAACCTACTACGAAAATGCCCGGAATACTCACAGACAGCAAAATCGGAGGTAACACTGGCAGCCCTAACTACTGCGCAAATGCCCGGAATACTCGCAGACGGCACTGTCGCGACTACTTCTGGCGCGCAAATCCTACTACGAAAATGCCCGGAATACTCACAGACAGCAAAATCGGAGGTCTTACGACCAGCCCTAACTACTGCGCAAATGCCCGGAATACTCGCAGACGGCACTGTCGCGGCTATCTCTGGCACGCAATTCCTACTACAAAAATGCCCGGAATACTCGCAAACGGCAATATCGGAGGAATTACGACCAGCCCTAACTACTGTGCAAATGCCCGGAATACTCGCAGACGGCACTGTCGCGGCTATTTCTGGCACGCAATTCCTACTACGAAAATGCCCGGAATACTCGCAGACGGCAATATCGGAGGAATTACGACCAGCCCTGACTACTGCGCAAATGCCCGGAATACTCGCAGACGGCACTGTCGCGGCTATTTCTGGCACGCAATTCCTACTACGAAAATGCCCGGCTATTTCTGGCACGCAATTCCTACTACGAAAATGCCCGGAATACTCGCAGACGGCAATATCGGAGGAATTACGACCAGCCCTGACTACTGCGCAAATGCCCGGAATACTCGCAGACGGCACTGTCGCGGCTATTTCTGGCACGCAATTCCTACTACGAAAATGCCCGGAATACTCGCAGACGGCAATATCGGAGGAATTACGACCAGCCCTGACTACTGCGCAAATGCCCGGAATACTCGCAGACGGCACTGTCGCGGCTATTTCTGGCACGCGATTCCTACTACGAAAATGCCCGGAATACTCGCAGACAGCAAAATCGGAGGAATTACAGCCAGCCCTAACTACTGCGCAAATGCCCGGAATACTCGCAGACGGCGCCGGCGCGACTAATCCTGTCGAGAAAACTACTGCGCACATGCCCGGAATACTCGCAGACGGCACGATCGGGGCTTGACACTTGTACCAATAATTCTAACACTTTGATTTCGAGTTACTTTACTTTTATTTTCTGGATTTTTCCTTTCTAATCCCTAACTGTCCCTGTCGCACTCGTTATGCTCACCCTGCTTGCCGAAGCCAGTGTTTCTATGTCTCGTTGGTCGCTTGCTTCCACTTCCTGGTCACGCGTCGGTTGGATCTTGAATTTGGGTTTTCGCTGTCGTTTTCTCCGCTTCGCCAAAACTTCGAACTTTTCTCGCCGCGCACAAAATTTCAAGTCCCGGAAGTTAGTGTGGCTGTTGGTCTCGTTTCCAAGAAACCTCCCCTGTGGGATTTTATCGGGGATTTCTTCTTAGTATTTTCCATGGCGTGATCGTGGTTGGTGTCCTGGCTTCGGCGGGAAATTCAACTATTCTCCTGACTTATTCGATAGTTTTGGGTTGCCACTTAGGGCTAACTTAAAATTATTTACTTCATGTTTCTGTCTCTTAAAA